GTTGACATTTCTATTCAATCCTATTCATCCAGATATTTTAATAAATTAATTTATTAATTTATTAATTATTATGTATATTTATATGTGTACTGGTGAATAATATACTACATATATTAAACTGGCGGTGTGTGTGTGCGCGCGCGTGTGTGTGTGTGTGTGTGTTTTTTTTTTTTATTATTAACAGCTAGTTTTTATATTCACCTAATTATCAAATTTAATATCGAGTATTTTTTTAATTATCTTTTTTTTTCATTTCTTCTGCTTTTCTTTTTAGTTGGCATATGTTCTTCCTGGCACTATAATGCACTTTCAAGAAATCTATATAAAAATATTGCGCGTGGCTGTTATGTCCAGTGCATATTTATCTTTCTTTTATTAAGATTTGAGATAGGATTGCGATAATGACGTTGGAGTAAATCTAGAAAATTAGCTTATTAAATTATTTTATCAAGGCTTATGAAAATTCTTCAGTGTTTTGTTATAATAATCTATAACGTTTTGTCGTGATATAATCATAAGACAATGAAGCATAATTATTTGTTAATCTTAATAATAAATAAAATAATCATTATTATTATTATACTTTTTTCTATGAATATCGAAAGTATTAGGCCTTTTATTAATTGATTAGCAATTAAAGTGCCCTACATTTTATTAAATGTCAATTAAAATTCGTTAAATTATTGAATGTATAAAAATCTTAATGCAATATATAAATTACTCGAAATAATATAGCGAATCGATAGTATTTTCTTTAAGCGACAACATTTGTTTGAAGTAATAGTTGTAAACGATGACATGACAGTTGAGATTAATAATGTCAATGTAATAATAAAATAAGATAATTTTCTAAATTATCAAATGAATTATGTTTTATAATTGCTCATGACTCATTGCATCTTTATCACTCTGCTTATTTTTTTTATTATTTTGGTCCCGTTTCGCGATTAATTATTTTGCGAAACTTTCATTTTTCGCAAAAGCACTATTTTCGCCCTGAACAGTGACGGAAAGGATGATATTGTTGTTTTATTTTATATTATTCTTTTTCTGTTTAAGCAAATAGGTCCCAGCATTTTTTATTTATTTATTCATTTATTTTTTTTTTATTATTTATTATTCTTTTTTTTTTTTTTTTTTTTTTATCAATGTGTTAACCTTATAGATCGTGCATTTTTTGCTGTAATATTTTTTTGTCAGTGCCTATCGTGACTTATGCTTGATCTAAAAGATTTTATTTATTTAATTGTCGCGTCATTGTGAAAATACAATGAATAATTATTATGCAGCAGATTAGATATTAGAGACGTGTACGTATTGAATTATTGATCGAACAATTTGGAAACATCGGAAACTTTACATAATTTGAAACAGTTTCAAAATTGATCATTTAGGATTAATATATGAAAAATGTCAATTATAATAATTAACGTTAGTAAGTAAGAATATAATGTTTAATTTTTATTATATTAGTATGTATAATCTTTAAAGCTCCTTTAAAATTTTAATAATTATAAAGATACATTTTCAATTATATTATCTATTTTTAATATATTTGATGAATTTATTCATTTACCATGTTCGTTTGGGAAAATTCTATGCGCAAATTTCTTTTACAGTCAAAACTGATACTAAACAATCATTCGTAAGCATAAAATAGTAACTATTCGTGGATTTTTTTTTTTTTTTTTTTTTTTTTTTTTTTTTTTTTTTTTTTAATGCTTTTTGACTAGCAGGTGGTAAAGATACCAATCATTCACATACGTAATGTTAGTAGGTCACATTAAAACCATAACAGTTTGTACGTTAGTAGTTTATACGAAAACTATTGGCTATATTGATTATAAAAATTATCTACCGTATCGATTTAGTTAAAATTTGTTTTGGACAGAAAATGAATAGTGGGAAAGGGCATTTCGAGAATTTGAAACAAGACTTTTAAATTACTGGTTGAGTATGTTAGTTTAACTATCGGAATATAAAATTTTATAACTTAACTTTTTAATCTTCTTTCTTTATTTATTTTTCAGCTGCAACTTAGATAATATTATATAATAGATATTTTTATCGGTCTTATATTAGCAAATGTGGGCTTGTTTGTCCTTTTGTTTCCAAGAAATGTTTATTTCTATTTTCAATGATTACTTAAGTATGTTCCATTCCAAAAAATATAATATAATTGTTCGAAGAATCGATTAAATAGAATCTGCTTAAATAATCGATAATTTGAAATTTAATTAATATTTTCTGATAGTCCTATATCAATACCTCAATTATAATATTTAGTATCAGTATTAAAAAGATCTTAATACGTTTTGCCATGATTTATAGTGTAGTCAAATAGTTATGTAATTTTGCTTATGTTTTCTTCTTACCTCACTACATTCATTATGTACGTCAACTTCTGAAGAACATTTTTTTTCTCTTTACAACTCGAATCAATGGTTTGGTTAATAATAAAAAGGGCACCCGTTTGCTGAAACACGTGTTTTCATACTAACGTACCCGTATTTATTTTCTATTTAACATAGCGGCACCTTGCTTTTTGTATAAATGGATTTAAAATAATGTATCTCTTAAAATCTATTATCCTAGCGATGCTCAAGCGAGTAAGATCACTTTTTATCCGATGAACGCCATTAATAATCTTAGTTGCGCGCATTCGAAAATTTTGACGCGTACGTATACTTCATAAAAACGTCTGCCATTATCGTGAATAAACGCCACTTTAAAAATAATACTAAGAGAATATAATATGAGTATCTAATTATTATTTATTTATTAATTAAACTTACTTTATATATCTTGTTTAATCTTAATAAAGTAGTTAATAAAGTAATTTCTAATAAATCAATATGTATATGTTTAATTTTTCTAATGGGTCTAATAATTTTAATTAAGCAGCATTTATTTTTTATCGATTCCTTTATATGATTGCAATAATTGCAAATGTATATTCAATATAAAAAATGTAAAAAATAATAATAGCCTTTGAATTCCTGTTTACAATTATAATCGTTAAATAACGCTAACTTGAAATATTGGCAGTTTAATTAATTTAATCTTTTATCAACTAACTTTATATATATATATATAATGGTATAGAGTGTAAAAAAAAAAGTCCTCATCACATAATATAATAATAAATTATATATGAAATAAAGATGTTTCATTATTGGTAGTTAAATATTATATCTTCTGAATTAATTAATGTAGTGTTAATTTTATACATTTGCAGCTGAATATTTAATTTTTTATTCTTGTGATAATTGTTACACAACTGTTTAATGAATATTAAAATATTTTTTTATCATAAAAGCATCTGATTATATTAAATTTTTCACATTTTGATGAAGCATTTCAATAAAAATATAAATCCTTTAATCGTAATATATTTTTTTGTTTAATTAAGCACATATCGAAATTAATAAAGAAAAAAAAAGATTCTTTCCTTTATAATAATGAAGAAAAAAGAAATGGCATAAGTTCACGATAATAGCGGCTACTTTATGGAATATATATATATATATATATATATATATATGATTTATTATAGTATACTTTTAAAGTCTCTGATATGTACGCAACGAATGCGCTCCGTTCAATGGCTTGATTGAATAATTAAGAGTTCGTTCGTTTCTGAAAAAGCTTACGCTCCCCTTTTATTTCCTTTATTATTTAATTAAAAATTTGTTATCGCTTTACACTCCTTAAAAGTTCGTTTGCTTCGAAATAAAAAAGAAAATTAACAATGCATTTCACATTATTTTACACTTCATCGCACAATATCCCTTACTTCGTTAGGAAATTTTTCTGTACTTTTTATTTTTTATAAACATATTAATGTACACGTCTACAAACTGCGGAATCGTTGTCGGTCGTAGCGTATAACTCGCGCGCTATTTACTTAGATTTCGTTTTTCTCCGTAATATGTGAGCTTATTTTAATATATAAGGTTGATCAGGCACGCAAATGGGGGCAGGGAGCAGCTCGCAGCAAGTGGAAGAATTCGTAAGTGCATTAACGCGTTTACGGCTGTTCGTTCTTACTTCTGATACTAAATCGTTTTGTTCATTCTTAATTATTCGTTATTGCGTTTGCTCTTTCTCTGTTATTTTCCTTCCGAGGAGAGGATAATGAAACGTGCTCGGTAAAAGAAGAAATGTCGATTTGAAAATATAAAAGGAGAAATATAGAAAGAAAATTGGATTCTACTTACTTTGAATTTGCTGAAGCATTGTTCTTCAAATATAATTAAAACTCGCTCGTTTCAATTGTCATGCATATAAAGAAAGCCACGAAGAAGTTTCAAGATTCTTTATGTTTAATAAAGTTTAAATGGATGTTAATGTAGACTGTTATACCGAATAATAATTTACCATAGCGAGGTAAGATAAGGTAGGATAGCGTGATATTAAGTTATTATGTTTTCCCTTGGGGCAAAAGTCTAGCAACATTTTATTTCTAGATAAATAAATGAAATTTAAACGAATTTCTGTCGTTTTGCCGTTACGCTGGTTGGCAACAAATTTTTTTCACGTTATGCTAATTGAATTTCAATTTTATTAATCATAAGCAAATTAAATATTACATTAATATAAAATATAAGCAACGTAACAGAAGTAATTTAAAGAACAAAGTTGAGAACTTAGTTAATTAAATATATATTACCATGACGCAGTAATAAAAGCACATTTCACACTAATCCGTCTGGCTAATTTCTCTCTCTTTTTTTTTTTTTTTTTTTTTTTTTTTTTTATTGCATTTATATAACTCCAATTTACAATTAGAGCTCAGCAAATAAAGATCGGGTAAGTAATAGCCGACGATTAACGTGAAATGAGACAGAGACGAAGAGAGAGAGAGAGAGAGAGAGAGAGAGAGAGAGAGAGAGAGCAATTATACGAAAAATAAGGGGATGAAGAACGTTTCACAGAAGAAAGAACGTAAGCAAGCCGATCCTCTCGCGTAGTAGTAGACGTATGTCTCGGAGGATATGACGTAATTTCTCCCCACTTAATAAGAATGCTGCGGCTGCAAGGACGAGGCTCAGCTGTGGGGGGATGAATCTGAGCCTTGGCTCGTACCTAAACCCGAGATCCCTGACTGCTGCTGCTGCGTGGGTAACCTCGAGACCGACTGGGAGGTGCTTGCATATTGGGACTGCTGGGACTGCCTGCCACTACCTGTTTCCGGTATCAGATGGGGCGTTCTACTGGATACGGGTGGTAACACCGGCGATACTGGCCACGGGTGCAAGGAGACCGTACTCGGTCCGCTTTGTACACTCCGCGAGTGTGGCAGCAGGTTGTTACCACCTAGGCCAGTGACATTGACGAACGGCTGCTGATGCTGGTGCTGCTGGTGCTGCTGGTGCTGGTGCTGGTGTTGATGTTGGTACTGGTGTTGCTGCTGTAGAAGTTGTTGTTGCTGTTGCTGCTGCTGCTGTTGGAGCGAGTTGGATCCGACGATGGAACCGCTGGCGCCGATGCTCGCAAAACCCGGGAAACTCGTGGCTGCGCTCGTCGAGCCGATGAGAACGCTACCAATCATAGGACCACTCGCGACGCCGCTCGCGGGAGTCGGAGCGAGGCTTCCTGCCGCCGTGTCCGGGTGCAGGAAGTTCCGTCTCTGCTCCAAGCGCTCAGCGTGCTGGGCTATGCAGCGGGTGAGGGCCTCCGGCAGCATCTCCAGTTGCTCCTGGAGCGAAGTCAATTTCTCCTCGAGACCGATGAGACGCTCCTCCAGTGCATCTTGGCGACTGCTCATGTCAGAAACGATCTCGTAAACGGTGTTTTGTGTCTATCACATAGTAAGACATTTGGCCAATCTGTTAGTATTTCTCATCACGACAATTATTAATTATACATATCGGTAAATATATGTGTGGCGATGTTATATTAATTTGCAGAATTTCTCGATTACTGCCTTTAACAAATTGCTTTCTAAGGAATTATTCTACTCGACGAAGATTATTTTGAAATACTTACTGACATTACGATGTACTTTGTTCTCTTATACACGCTATCATTAAAGTAGTTATATAATCCTTTAGACTTACGATACTTTTCTAATAAACATTATTTTAAAGATCGGAGATGAAAGATGTATAACTAGAATTCTTCAATTAAATAACATATGCCGATGCAATAAAAACCGAACAAATGGACGTTCATAAGATATTAAACTGCATTAACCTAGTATGTAATAACTATAAACTGGAAACAAAAATTATTATATTCGAAAGTAAAGGTGTAAATTAAATTGGCTCAAAATCTTACAGAATAATAAAAAATCTCGCAACAATATTGATTTGATCGCAATTTTAAGGATTACTTAAACACTGAGATTAATTCACAAGTATAAGAGACACATCCTTGATAATACATTACTTGACATTTAGTTTTATAAAATGTTTGAAGAATAAACACGAAGAATTGTTTCATTCGATTTTATTCAAAGAATTCTTTTGCTCGAATAATTGATAAAAAAAAATATATATATATAAAAGAATATTTATATATTGATAATTTATCGATATAATATTTTTCGTAATAAATGTACAATTACATTAAAATTATTGCAATGTGAGAATTCAAACTTTCGCTAAAACAAAAATTTCATTTAGAAACCGAGTTTTATTTTAAATTCTATTGAAAAAAAAAGCGTATATCAAGTTTTTTAAACAACAATTTCTACAAGACAAGTATTCATACAAGATTAAATTCAAAACTATCCAGTTGTATATTTTTTAAAATTCCAATGATTTCCAATACGTATATTTTAAAAATGTATTAGAGATACTTAATGCATTTATATTATTTCTATCTAATAACTAACATTCATTTTCCTTTAAGGAAAATAATTTTTGAAAATGTTGATATCTTAAGACGAATTAAAAAAATTTATAAAAATTGATTATATTTTATTATACGAAATCTTTTAGCATACAAATATACAAGTTTATTGCCCTTAAGTAGTATTTCAATTTATATTCGATTGAATATTTTCAAAACATAAAAGTGTTTTCGTGTAATTTAATTTAGTGTTCAGGTTTTACATTAAAATTCGAATTTTTCTATTCCACGAATGGAAGACTATTAATCGACAATATTTCAATTTACGAATAATAATTGATGCTAAATTTCTTGCTAGCTATTGTTATTAATTTTTTAAAATTAATTCTTAATATTTTAGTAATTTAGAGTGTCCAAGATGATCTAACACAATATAATAATTTATTATTATAATTTATTTAATCTATAACCATTGTTTTTCTTCAAAAATTTTATTATTTAAAATATCTATATTTTATATTATTAAATATTTTATCCTTTTTATAATATGTAAATTGCAACTAAAATAAAATTTCAAAATTTTAATAGTAATATTTATGAATTCCTCTCTATGCTAACATTTTTTGAGATATCATAACAGTATAATGTGAAAAAGTTTATATATAAAGCCGAGCTTTTTAGATATATTATATGATGGTATATTGTGTGACAAGGTTTTAAAAGTCCATGTTAAAAGTTGTGAATTGTGAACAATTCCGCAATCTCACATTATGGGTGAGTGAATTTTTAAGCAGATCTTTCACTTCCGACATCTAATATAATTTTTTAAAATATATAATTAATGTTGTTAAAGTACACATTTGTGTTGCATGTATGCATACACATGTATATAAATCTATCTGTGAATATACTTGTGAAAGTATATTTGTACCTTTGCCATATCAGTTATCGTGTTGGCATTGTCCATTAGCTTCCGTTGGTCCATTTTTACTTTCCGTAATCTATTAACAATTAAAATATCATAAGGTGAGACGGGAAAAGAAGCATTATCAAATCATCATATTTCTTTTATAATAATTAATAACAAATATACTGACGCATAAATTGCCAAGAGAAATTTTCGTTGATGAGTGCGTACACGTCCAGGATTGACTCTTTTTACCAGTCGCGTGTGTTTGTAGATCAGCCACGTCTCGCGCAAAACATTCGCAGCCGCGTTTTTTAACTGCGAAGTTGAAAAATATGCATAAGGGTTTATAATGATCTTCATTATTAAACTTTATGTTTGAGAATAGTAGGTACATTACTTTTGAAATAATTTAAATAAAATATTATAATGAAAACTTTTAAACAAAATTTAGGTTAAAGGAGGTAAAAAAAAAAAAAAAAAAAAAAAAAAAAAAAAAAAAGTAAATATGTGTAATATGAATTATATAAAAAGTTGTCATTTTTCATATTGTTTGATATATAAAAGAGAAACCTAATTAAGAAATAATAATTTTTCTAAAATGGAATTTTCAAATACATTCTATACTCCACGAATATAATCGTTACAAAATTGAAAAACTACTAAACTATTATTCTTATACGATTTTATGATAAATTATTAATAATTCAAATTCTTGGCTTAGGACGGAAATTTTAGTTTTATAAATTTTTTATAGTAAGATCGAATTCCTTAAATAAAAATTCTATAAATTTAACGAATTTATTTGATTTTTTTATTTTAGAAGCTAAGAATATTGTGGAAACGATTTCTATAACTATAAGACGCGTAATCCATTTCCTAATTCGTTATTAAATTGTTATAGAAATCGCCATACCAAATGTTTCTATTGACATTTGCCATGAAAAATTTGTATTAAACTAGCTCTGTGCTTATAGTTTCGTAAAAAAAGCTTTTAAGTTCTTGCAATGAAAGCTCACGTTGAAAGTGTGAACAGTCCATTAGCATCGACTTTTTCTACAATAATCGATTAATTGTAAATTGAGCAAAAATTCGGTATCAAATATCAGAATAGTTTACAAATACTTTTGCCGAGCAGAGGAACTAAAAGTTAAAAGCCAAAAAAAAATAGTCATGAACACTTGTTATAACACGTATAATCTAACTAAGTCGCTTTAAAATTCTCCTTTAAATCACGAGGGAATGAAAAATCCTCGAGCCACTCCAATCACCCCGCAGACGGCCGTTCACTTATAATTCTCTCCCTCTCCTCCTCCTCCTCCTCCTCCTCCTCCTCCTCCTCCTCCTCCTCAATCTCCACCTCCTTGGCCGCTCATCGATGCACGATGGCAAAATAAAAGGAAGTGAGGAAATGGGCGTTAAGCTCTCACCCGCTTCGTCAGTTGTGTGTCCATCATGAAATTGTGAACGTGCTTCTCGGCCCTCGTCAGCTCCAGCTTCCTCGAGACGACGGCAACGAGCAGAGCCGTGCAGCCGGCGCCCTTTAACAAACATAAGGCAAGACGAATGAATGGTAAATGCGTTAAGCAATGGCAAGCCAAATGAATAACGAAAAGTCAACATGGATTTTAGCGTCGCTCTAAGGCAAGTACCATCAATCCTTTGAATTCTTCTCTTTATTATCATTCTTTCGACCCGCTGAATAAATGGAAAAATATGGGAGGAATTGCCTCGTCGCCTCATTAATATCATTGTCTACGATACAAATAATTTTATTCACTTGGTTAACGCGATTATTTCTAATTATTTTTCATTATTCCATTTATTTCCTGTGTTATTACTTATTATTTGTTCGTTGTTGTTAATAGGTCCGATTGCAGCTAATAAGCCAATACAATTATTGCGAATTATAAGAGAAATTTATCAAAGAGGCTCGTCTTGTATTACTCTGTTTGCATTTTCACGTTCTCGCAACTTCTCCATTTAATAATGTACGTTTTATTTCGATTTTTCCCAATGATACTCCACGAAACATGATCTTACTAACATGCAATTGCCAATACTTATAAATTATTAATATATTCATTGAATATCGTTTGCCGGTAAGTCGGTATGAATAATATATTGTTGCAAGAAGATTTGAATTTTGAAAAAAATTTTCAAGCTGTTTCAAAAAAAAATTTCTACCCACGTGTTACGACTGCATATTAAGTTTTTGTTTTATCGACAATATTTTCAATTCCTCAAGATACGAGGCTAAAATATATTTTCAATTAATTTATTCTGATTCGCGCAAGACCAATAATACGAATTTTATAAATAATCGAAGCGTTTCTGTGTAAATTTCATATTTTTTCTCTTTAAAAAAACACTCCACAATATTTATTATAAATACGTAATATTAAACGAAAAGTGAACTGAAACAATACATACCGAAATAAAAATAAATTGAAGAATTTTAAAAAGGAAAAAAAAATAACACGAACTATTTGCAACTTCAATATTTATAAATATCGAAGAATTTATGAATATTATATTAATGGCAAATTATTTCGAATAACCGTTACATATTATTATAAAAATATATAAAAACTTAATGTCAGTTAATGGCTTCTAAAAGTCTTGTTACTTTAGTGTTGTTAAATTTTTTTTTTCAACTGTCTCAGAATCATTAATACTTGCCATATTCGAAATCATATATGAATCTTACGTTGGGTATATTAATAAAGATTTCTATAACTGTGATATTCACATAATTCTAAACAATTCTAACATCTATGGAATATATTTTTGAATGTATTTTCAAAGTTTAATCGGAATATAAAATAATTTTAGACGAATACATGTTTAACAATTCGTATTTCAGAATAATTACGAAGAGGTATTTTATTATATTTATTAAAAATTCTAATTCTCGAATTATTTTTCTTCTTTATTTTATACGCTCTCTTAGTCTTGATTTAGGATGGTAATACGAATTTTCACGTCAGTTACGAGATTTTCTTCCCAGACAAGAAGAAGCATCGACTAAGTAAAAAATAAAAGAAGCAGAGCTTTCAGACACGGGAGTAAGGGAAAAAAGTTACATCTTATAAGAGTGGAGCAGCGGGTCTTTGTAAGGTCATGTCCTTTTTTTTTCTTCTTTTTCTATTTTTCTTTTAGGTAACCACAGAAAAACCGTACATGCTCTAGGGAAGCATAAGAAAAGAGAGTAATAAGAGGCACATTCAAAATAAGGATTAATAAATATTTTCTTTCATTGTTATTTAATGTGTATTATTAATCTACTTATTATGATTTTCCTATAAGTTAAAATATTTTTTATAAAATTAGTTTTATATATACTCCAATAGCAAATTTGATTATTTTTGTTATACAATTCTTTAATATAAGAATCTAAATTTTTTTTATTGTAAATAAAATCTTTATTGAAAAATTTATTAATAATCCAAATATTTTCAGATACTTAATGGTAATAATACATAGTTATCAATTCAAAATTCTTAACAATTTACTTGTATCGATTTTATAAAAATAATTGCTATTACTTTTACATTAATAATTAATTAAAATTAGTATTTTTAAATTCCTTGATATAATTTTCTAAGTGTATCATTAAATTTTCGTATTAATTTCATCGATATTTCATTTCAAATAGAAGATTACAACTAAAAAAAAATTGAACGAGAAAGCTCAATTTACTACTTATGGAATAATAAGGATTATAAGGACGTTTAAAAATTAAAAAATCTTTTTCAAACAATCTTCGACTCAGTATGATATTTTAAAAATCTTAAATAATATAAACCAATAATTTAATTATGTTATTATTTAATAAGAAATGATTTTATTGTATTATTAATATAAAATATTTATTATTTATTTTCTTGAAATTAATAACGTTGAATATACGAATTATATTTTACCAATTTCCGAAGGTATGTGCATGAGTGTATGAAATTAATTTTTAATTCAATATTAATAATACAAAAAAAAAAAATCATTGTTTATCTTTAAAATGCTATATAACCGTTATACATTACATTTCGCTAATTATAGTTTTCTACAAAGTAATTAAATTCTAAAGTTTGCTAATGCCTTTTGCTTTAAATTTCTATTAAAAAAATTTAATTCTGAAACCTTATGTAGATTTTTTATGATTAATAGATAATATGATAATTATATTCTTTTTTACAAACGTTTATTTCAATTATATGAGACATATTTTAAAAGTATAGGTATCTTTTGTATTATAATTCTCGTTTTTATATACCAATTCTACATTACTTTATATATTATTACTTTATATAAAATATACGATTTTCTAATAATTATTATCTTTTAAAACTGAAATACATTTAAGTTACAACTTTCATCTGTATTAAAGGACTTCAATATTTATGGAATTTAAAAATATTTCAAAAGTCTTTCCAAGCTTTTAAAATTTGAGAAAGGAAATAATGATTGTAGTATAATACTTTTATAATATCAAATCTATATGACATTATGTAAAAAAAAAAAATAATAATAATAATAATAATTTTGCCTATAAAATTTTATACACGATGTAATATTATATATTACATTTACTTATTAATTATTTTTCTTTACCTTTCGTAATCTATTTATTATACACAATATATTAAATAATAATTATATGAATGTAATATAACCTTGATTATATGATTTGAATTAAATAATGACGTTATTTAGTTAGCAAACAATAGAGTGATTTGTTAGCAATGTTGCAAAATTTTTTTGAATCACAAATTACACTTTTCGTTCATTTGTTTTTGCTATTCTTGATAGAAGAGTAACTTGCACGGAGAAGTAATGAAAAAATAAAATAAAAATCTGTTAATTTTTTCCCTTTTTTTTTTTTTATATCAAACCAGAATATAATAAAAGATACATAAAAGAATTAATAAACGAGTGGATTATAGCTCAGCTTAGTTATTTCAGAGCATTAATTTAAAAGTGTCGACATAATAGGATATGTAATATAGTTTCTTTTACGAAGTACATTTGTTTAATAAATTATAGTTAATTTAAAAATGATAGTTTTATAAAAAAAAAAAAAAAAAAAAAAAATATATTGAATTTGATGAAGCACGTTTTATTTTATTGAAAAATGCAGGGAGGAATTTTATAAATCTCAATATAATTATTATGAAAATTTTAATTTATCTTTATATTGGAGATTTATGACAATATTGGATTATGATATGATATATAGTGGACAACAGCATGGAATTTTTTTTTCGTAAATAAATCGAGACATACCACTTAATTTTTTAATATTAAATTTTGTTGATTTTCAATTTATATAATGTCATGTTATTTGAAATTTTCATTGACAATAGATATTTTATTTCTACATTCATGCTTTAGATATGTAATAAAACGCATTGGGAAAAAGAAAAATGAATTTTAAAAAGAATGAATTTTAGTAAAATGAATTATTGTAGCATATGTTTAGAAGAATACTGGGTAGTATTATGATTTATATGTTCGTAAATATTATTGTTATGGAAAAGGAGTGAGATAGCAATTTGAGTAGTACTGTAGTAATAGACTAAATTGTTTTCCCTTCTCTTTTTTAATGAAACGGAAAAAGTACTTAGAAAGCATTGACTAATGTTTCCGACTCGAAGTTCGAAGATTCTACTTATCTTCGTTAGGAATCGTGGTTCCCAACAATTTATTATAATATCGATCGCAAATAAATCAATGAAAATGCACCGATTTAATGTTCTGAACAGGATAAAATTTTTTACGCTATTGAGATATTGACGCGTCTGCGATTGTTCATTTGTAAATAAATTAAACAAATTAATTTAAATAAACTTATTTATTCCATGTTTATTATTCGCTATAGCTAATACGTATTATTCTAGTATGAAATAAAAGTAAGATAAGAATTGGAAGTTATGGTAGCATTTTGCATTATTAATGGCATTATTATATATTTTTTTTAATTAACGTAGTTCTGAAAGTAAAGAAAAACATAACATTTAATATTACATGCAACGCATAAGTTTGAAATACAGCGATGAAATAAAATAAAAAATAATCAACGAAATCTAATTATATTCATTTTATTAATAAATGTATTTCTTCTGCAAATCTTAGTTTCATTTCATTTTAACTCGAAATATATATTTATTATATATATATATGGAATTAACAACTTTCACAACTTCCAAAATGAGAGACTGCGAATAGTTTATATTTATATATATATGTTTATATTAAATATGCGATTTATTAAATATTAATCTCGGCTATTGAAGATTGATAATATAACTTCTATCTCAGTTAAAGCATTAAATAATAATTATTTTAGATATATCGTTTTATTTACAATCAGAGTCTAAAAATGAAAATAACTAAAGTACAAGAAACTTTTTTTAAGACTTAATTTTATAATTTTCAAAATTTTAGTCGAACTACTAATTTTTCAATGTAATACATTTTGTTGTTGTTGGAGTTTTACATGAATAAAAAAAAAAAAAAAAAAAAAAAAAAAAAAAAAAAAAAACTATTATAGGCTAAATGTTCTAATTGCAGATTCATTTTTACATATAAAAATGATCAAATTTGATTGTATTTAATTTTTCTATTTTGCTCTTAAAACGTGAAATTTTTCTTATTAAATTATTAAATATTAAATTTGAATTGTCGATGCATGTGTACATATAAATTTAAAATATTAATATATTTTTAAATCTGTTTTTGAACTAGAAAGAAAGTCACTCGATCATTATTTTAACAATCGATAGCAAATATTTTAAGAATATTTGTTAATTTTTTGTTAATTTTGCTCATGCATTTGTAAATTATAATTGTAATTTTTCTTCGTCAACCCAATGCTCCCATCAATTATTCTCTTTGATTCCATTCTAGCCACTACCTAACTTTACTTATCTTTATCAGACTCGGTGAACTAACTCGCATAAAATTATTATATGTAAGTTTTATATTTAAATATTTTTATGAAAAATTAAAAATGAAAAATTATATTAAAATGTAAAAGTATTATATTGGCTATTTGTAATGTTATTGAAATTATTGTTCTTTCTTTGCTAACCTCGTTGATCGCAAATGTGCCATAATGAATTTCCAAGTTCAAGCTTCTTCGCCTCGGACAAACTATTCCCCATTAGATAATATTTTACATTACATATTGTGTAACTTTTTATCATCATTGCAGGAGTGTAATAATATTATAATTCATGGATAATTTATTGATCTCATATTTTTCGACTTTTCAACATGAAGTGTTCCTCATTTTTTTGTTAGACACTTGTAATAAAGAAAATATACCACATTCTACAGAGTATATTAACAATAAGCAATCCTTTCAAATTATAAAATAAGACGCATGACCTAGGACGTTCCTATAAATATGAATATAAAAGATACAGCGCAAAATTAATTTAGAATGATTTATTTAAATGCATATGTATATAATTGATTAAAAGTCAAGGAAAGTTTGTTATACAAATAGATTTCCTTCTCCTTGATACGTATGACAGTAATAATTGTGTATTCATTAAGTAATATTAGTTTAACTTTTTTTTTTCTTTTAAATTGAAAGTGTTAAATTTTACTAAATAAAACGTATTTTTGTTTTTATTCGGCAACATGTATGTACAAGCAATTCAAAATAGGGATAAATTTACATAAGCTAGATGTATTTCTAAATATAATAAATATTTCCAACTAAATTAGATGAGCATGAATAATGAAGTATGAATTAAAAAAAAAAAAAACGTTATAATAAATGATAAATATAATTATCCAATAATCGCGATTTTTCCATAATATTATTGCAAAGTAAATCCTTAAAGTAATTTTCTATTTATCAGTTATAATTATATTGTATTTATAATTTAATTAAAATTGAAGAAATTTCTAAATGATTTCAACTCATTTAACGCAAATACGATTTTTCATTACATATTAAAATAACAAATTTGCGATTAAAATAAATAATTATTTGGGAGCCTGACATACAAAGTCTCAATCGACAAGATGAGTTCAGAATTCTGAAAAACCTATACTCAAGTATTTGAATTCTGATTAAAGATAATAACTTTTATTTCCAAATATCAAAGGCATATTTTTGTATAATCTTCTTTATCTGCTTCGAACGCAGTTATTTTCAATCTTCCTATTGGAATAAAGTTTAATAGTAGATTGGACATGTAATAAAAGGCTGGTGGTAAATACAATCTCTAAAATCGCTCGCTTGTCTCATTTCAATAAGGCGAACTTACATTCGAGTAGTTACGTCGGCTTTGTTCGTCAATGGCTAAATCCGAAAAAAGCAATGTAGTTCGAAAAGGAAAAAGACTAATAAACTCGACTCTTTGCTCGAAATGGAAACTAATAGCAGGAAAGCAAGAAGTATAGCGAAAAAGGGGGAAGTGAAATTCAAGAGAGTTGTATTCACCTACATATATGCGACGATGGGGTAAGAATTTCGCCGAATCGCTAAAAAGCAGCGGCTGCTTTAATCTTGATTCCAACAATTTCAGGTTTAATTCAGTATTAAGTTTTACGGGATATTTTCTACGTGATATTTGCACCGCTACGAAGTTACTATTGTATATTAGAGCAAGATAGATTTCAGTACTATATGCTTTTCGCGACATTTATATCGTTCACGTGTGCATGTAGCACATAATCGACAATCTATCGTTCATTTCTTAAAGTATTTGTCAAGTTTACTGTTTTTATTTGTTTTTTTCTTGTTGGCGCTGATGGTTAAATTTCGATAGTACACGCTCGATCTATTCATTAGTAATCAATTTTTCTTTTAGTTATGTCTTTTATTATTCTAAATGTCTATTAAATGGTGATCTTACGTCAATTTCTTTATTCTTCGTAAATATCTTATAAATCATTATGCTTGTATTGTTTTATGAAAATATGTGATAAATGATTTTTTTTTTTTTTTTTTTTTTTTTTTTTTTTGTTAAAGTCTTTACATACACACGATATATGATTAAAATTTGTAAAAATATTATTACTCTTTGATTTAAAATTAAAATGATATATAATGGATACTTTTTACATTAGTTAAACAACAAAATTTAACAATAAAGTATCGTGAAATTCGTAAATTTTATTGTATAGCCGAATAATATAAATAATTCATTTATAATAAGATTAATATTGTGTTGCATAATCAGTACTATTTTTGTCTACACCACTAATCAATTTACATAATTAATTTGTAAAAATCTATTAACAATAAATAAAACTATAATAGAAGTAATTGATATCATAAAGCACAGTGATAAATAATAATAGTCCTTGTTAGGATTTTATTAAAATTTTAATAAAATTTTCTCTGCAATTATTTTTAATCAATGCATGTGTCAATAATCAGTCATTGAAACAGTTTTGAAATTATTCATACAATTTCATGCAATTTATTAGATTTATTTTAATAAAAAAAACATTCCTTAAACATTATTCAAATGAGATTCTAACGACAAATCCATGAATAGCACAATGTGCAGTGGTTACAGTTTTCGATCTTTTATATCTTCTCATTCCATAATCATATAAAATTATGTAATAATTAGATATAGATGCGAATTGAAGAGGTTATCATGTCTGCTAGACTTACCATCATTCCAGTTGATACGGCGATACCTCGGCCGCAATAGGTATTGGGTACGATATCACCGAAGCCCACACTGAGGAAGGTGATGGCGATCAGCCACATTGCATTAAGAAGATTGGCGTGTTCTTCGTCGTGGAACCTATACGCACACAAACGTACACAGGCCGTTTATAAATATCTTTGTAATAATTGGATTTTCCCGTGTCTTTCATTATTAAAGCAAATGCGGTGCTCCCGATTGCAAGGCAAAAGAAAAAAAAAGTCGATACGATCACCAATTTCCTCGAAGGTTAATCGACTAATCTTAATTTATATTTTAAGTAACATTTAAACAATTGATTATTCATTAAAAACGTCTGCAACTATACAAAAGTTTGAAGTTTTGTGTTAAAAATACAGTGGTAATGTTAATGAAAAACACGAATTTAGATTTTTGTAATCTGTATTTAAAAGGAAATTAGTATTAGAATTTATTCTGATATCACTAGAGAAATTAGTTAATATATTATTAAAGTAGTTGACGATTAAAATTAAATATATAAATTTATTATGAAATTTTTTTAATTAATAAAAAATGTTCTTACTAGAAATGTTATTTCCTATTTTATATATAAATATATTAATATAAATGTAAATGTAAAGGATGTTTAAAAGATCTATAAAAATTACAAGATAATGATCAATAAGTAAATATATTAAGCTATTGATTATTATCTGTCAATAGTATTAGCAACTATAAGAAATATTTCTATGTGTCAAAATTATATTTAGAGTGATATCTGAAAATATATAACATTTATAAAAAAATATTTATAAAAAAAAAATAATATAAAACGATTTATTTAAATATTTTTAACATTAAAATAGAGTTTTGTTTGCACAATAATGAACGTTATTATATATATATATATATATATATATATATATATATATATATATATATATATATATATATATATATATAAAAATATCATAATATTGTCCAATAAAATAAATTACAGTATTCCAAAATATATTTTAAGAATTACATGAGAGTAAAATATTTTTACATAAATTTGTAATATACTTTTCATTGGAAAATAAATTTTAGTTTACAAAGTACGGAATAGTTAGTAATAATTTGTAAGTTTGAAATAGATTAAATAAATTATTAATTATTGTAAATTAATGAGTCGAAATAATATAAGTTAAATAAAAAAGGGTAAATTTTTATTGTAGTAAATTGCAATTCATTTATATTATAATATTGGTGTATAGCTGTGATATTTCTCTTTTTGCATAAATAATGTTTTTAAATAACATATAAGATGTACAAAGATTATTTTAAACATACGCAATTTTAATAAAATAATTTAATGAAATAAAATTACAGCATTTATATTTATATTTTCTAAAAATCTAAAAATTTTTACAAAAATATGTATAATTATTTTTAAATAACGTTATATTAAATATTATAAAAATAAAATAGTTTATTCTTTCAGATTGTAAATAATTACTTGTATTTTTGAATATCAATATGTTCGTTATAACGTGTGTTAATAAGAAAAAGTATTTTACTATTATCGACTGTTTCTTAAAAAAAACTTTCCATATTTTCAAGAACAATCAAATACTTTTTTCCATTTATAAAAATAATTTATTGTCGAATCGAACATTTGATATATTTTTTTAAGTTTATTTGCTCTTAAAATAAAATCTAGAATATAAAGATGTAAGTAGACTAAACGTTGTGTTCAATCGTAACTTATTTGAAACGGCACTACAAAGTTTACGATTAAGTGTGTGTGTAATTCGAAATACATTTACAAACCAAATTTGTACAAAGGACGTATTTCAGCTATAAAATCAGATTTACACTTTAAAGTCAATTTCACAGTGATATAATTTTAGTTTTATCGTATTATTTTATAGTGCATCATCTGTTTGACACTTTACTAATTAATCATCTTACTTTGGAGTTGAAATAGTACATTATACTTCATTTTAATATTGTAAATGAATAATGAAATTTAAAAATTATAAGTTTAAAATTAGAAATATTAATGATTTACAATATCATTAAATATACTATTGTTATCTACTATCCAAAAATTCATTTATTAAAATATGAGTAAATTAAAATAATTTCTTTTTAATTATTATTTTCCTTTCTTTTTTTCTTTTTCTTTTTTACAGTATTTAACGAGCCCTATATTAAACTTGTTCTACATTTCCGGTTTACTTACAGTTAGTAGTGGAAGTAATGTGTCTAAAAACTGTCTACAGCCACATTAGGGGAACTAACGTCGAGAATATCGCATACATGTTGAGCTTTAATTAATAATATTACGCTTCAGGCGTGTCACTCTCGTATATAAGAATAGAAAAGAAAACCTATTTGACGTATAATTTAATTTATATTCTTACTTCATTTCCAGCCCTTATAATAATTGAAATATATCCACTAAGTATAATAGTAATAGATTTATTATTGCTTATTTAAAAAATCCTGTTTGTTTTTGTAAACAATTACTGTTTACTTATAAAAGTAACTTATCAATATAATTTGTTATTAATAAATGAGATTATTTTTGAATATATATATATATATATATATATGCATTATTGAAGGAAATTAAATTTTCAAAAGATTTTTTAATAGCTTAAATAAATACCGAATTAACAAATATCGAATGCGATTTGTAACTGTAATAATGTTTTAAACAATTTAGTATTTAAAAGATTAATAAGCGTGTGTAATTACACATTTTCCTAATTGTTAATATTAATGCGATGTATACTTTTAAATTGGCTTGATAGAGTAATTAAATGAATTGATTAATTAAAAAATGACTATTAAAAACATTTTTTCTGTTTGTATTTCAGTAGTAAGTGAGCAGTTAATTGCTCTACATATTTGGAATAGACGACTAGTTTCAAAAATTTCGTAGGACTACAAATTATAATGTTATATTACATATTGTATTTTGAGAATTTATCAATTCTTAAATACAAAAGTTCGCGATTTTGTAAGAAATTCTGTTTGACAACAATGTTTGTATTTTTTTCGATTTAAGCTGACGGTGTCGAATGAGGAATATCCTTAGTCAGAATGGTCGCTCTATTCCCTGGCGAATTATTATTAACAAAATGCATTTCGGACTTTAAAACCGGATTCGTGCACTTGATAAGAAAAAAAGAGAGAGGGGGGGGGGGGGAAACTCGTTTGAGCGCTTTTGTCTGGAGATCCGTACCTTTCACATTGCCTTAGAGTCCAAGAGGCGATGATCCAGAGGGAGACCATGAAGACGAGCAGCACCGTACCGGGGCATATAGTCATGAGTGTCTTTAGCACAAAGCGCGTGTTGAAGTTGATACGGTTGAGGGCGCCGATACTCCGCGATGAGGCGTCCGTGAAGAGTTTGGAGTGCAACAGCATGACACGGCATATGAGGTAAAGTCGCAAAAACATTGGCAAGGAAAGCGTTACGTCGTAGGGCACCCACTTGGAGCCAATGTCGCCTCCCTTGTTTGCCAGCTTCGTCGTCCACAGGAAGTAGTACTCGCCCGGTATCGGGTGCACCGCGCAAATCGCCAACTCCACCGAAATCTGCGAGATGCGCTGCCACGTCATTGCGATGCGCCAGTCGTCCGCACAGTTATCGATCATGAATAACTGAAACGAAAGTTGGAAAACAATTTAGCGAAACTTTATTCAAATTTAACCACGTTACGCATAAATTCAGAGCTTTAGAATACGATTTTCACAGAACTTTTCAACCAGTCGTTTGTACAAATTCCCAAGTTAGCCTAATAAATTCTGGTTTATCAAATATCTGTTGATAAAGTGATTGCGAATTGAGTGACGTTGATAACAATTGTAACGCTTTGAGCATATTTTTTTTTTCTCTTTACAAATACAACTTCATGTTAGTATGATAATATAATTATAAACATCAACAAACCATTTACTTATTCCATTGTGTTTTTCAATACACTCATTCCTCTAAAGGATATACATATTTAAGTATAAAAATAATATTGAAATTTGGTATTTATTTTTTAATATCTTAAAAAGATTTAATTACAAAAATGCCGAAAATTAAATTTTTATTCTATTGATAATACAAATTATAATTCTCACTTTATAATCAATACATAGTTAAAACATTTATCTACCTATATATTAATGTATTTAAAAGAAAAAAAAATCTTACATTTTTTAATAGATCTATAATTAGAAGTTGTTGGAATTCTTTATGATATTAAAATATTATATAGTAAATTTTAATTGGATATTTAGTTTCCAGTAAGGTATTTTCCATTTTCAAACACTGTTTTTTTCTTTTAAATTTCAATATTTCAATGACAATTTTCATGTAATATATTGCATCACTATAATAACCATAAACAACAAATTATGTTTTGTCGATTGAAAAACAAAAATTAAACAATACGATTATTGTTATAACCTTTATTAAGCTTCTCAAAAATAGTTTAAAATTTTGTATTAATTTTAATAAAATGGCAACTATCTTTGGTCAAGTTGAAATTTTGTTAAAAATTAGAGTGAAAAAAAATGAGAAGGAGAAAAGGAGAAATAGAGAAAGAGCATTCAAGATTTATAGGAACTCAATTATCCAGCAGAAAATAATATAGAATAAAAGCATTTTTTAGTTAAATGAAGAAATTAGAATCCGAAGATCAGTTGAAGCCATAATACTTTGATAATTACACTTAATCCTTTTTTTTTTATTCTTTTTTTTTTTATTTATTTAGTGACAACCATGGAAAACGTACCTCTATTATATCTTTGTTAGATAGCTAAAAACTATTTAAATATCTTATAATTTTAATCATAGTAATTGCTAATACTTCTTATTTATTTTAGATGATTTTTTATTCTATTTTAGGTGCATAAAAAGATAAATACTCGACAATTATAATTTTTGTTGTTGCAAATGTTATAAATATTTATTAAATTATTTTATTTTTACTTTTCATTTTGCATGAAGCTTTAAGTTTATTAACAAAAAATTATTATTTGTACATAAACGTTTTTTGTTTATTATTATTACTTTACAATTAATAAAAGCATTAATTTTAATTGTGTTTAAGTAGTATTTAATAGCGACGAATAGTTGGACGTTTTTACAGCAATCGAATTATGATTTAATTATTTCTTCGCTCACTCAATTTTCAACTGTTCTAGATTAAATAATCAAGGATTCAATAATTTCAGAAGAATTCAATAGTAAGAAAAGAGATAAAGTTTCTTAACTTCATCTAATTTGCTTTGAAGATATTTAGAAATAAAAATTTATTTAATTTCTTTTTTAATAGTGATTTGGCAAAATAGATAATTATACTGCGCGTGTATTTAATATTTTAGTGGAAAAGCTTGTAAGATTAATAAAATATTAATAAAAAGTTTAATTTACTATGCTGTATTTATGTGTTTTTCGGTAATAGAAAATTCATCAGTTTTTTGTTTAAATTTAAATATTGAGGATATATAACGTTTGTTAATTTTTATTGGATTATATGTAAATATAGATAGTCGGTGGGAAAAGAATCAAAAGTAGAATAAATATAACTGAAATAGTCTGAAACTACGTACATAATTACAAAGTTAAGTACATAATAATAAGCTTATATTTTCTTATTTAATCTATAGCACGTAATTGAATATGTAAAACTTAGATATTCTTTGGAAAAGTTTTAGATCTTCTTGAAGATTCGTATTGCAACTGTGATGTTACCGTATAAATGGAACCTGTTTCTTTTGAATTTTGCTTTATTCACTTTTATCCAATCGAATTGCTTAACATCAATTGTTACAAAAAAATTTATATAAAAAATTTGTTCGTAATTTAATCTTAGCATTAAAGGAGTGGTATGTTATTGAACGATAAAGAGAGAGAGAGAGAGAGAGAGAGAGAGAGAGAGAGAGAGAGAGAGCGAGTAGGTGAATGAGCGGCGAGGGTCGAGGCTAGGAGGGCATGAGGACACGAGTGTGAGCGTATGGAGCAGTGAAGGGATGTGGAAGGAAACAGAGATAAAGCGAGTGGAGGAAGACAGTATAAATGTGTCGATTGGGGGAATCCCCTTTGGATTTTTTTAAGGCATGGGAATCACGTAATGTATCTGCGATACGTTATTGGGGTCACGTTTCCTTCGCGGATCAACGCAAACGCCGAGAGTTTCTCGTACAGAAAATGCGAAAATGGATGAATTCGTATGTGGGTTTGTGTATGTTGTGCGCGCTGAGCGTGTCTACATGCAGATATATATATATATATATAAATATGCGATATTGATTTATCGAAATCGTGCTTGCGATTTAGTAAGATGGAAGCAATTGTAGAAATGATTTTCGGACATTGACACGGTACACATAGACTTATGCTAAGCATATAATGCAAATTATTAAGTTTTCATCGATAGATATTTCAATTTCATAGTTAAAGTTTTTTTTTCATCAATTTGCATAAAAAAAAAAAACTTTTACCGAGTAAAGAATTTATGTTTTTTTATTATTGTACTATTATTGTTGGACTTAAATCTTTTATTGGGCAGTAGATCTTGATTGATTTATTGAATAAATAAATGACCTGCAAGTCAATGTATAAGATGTAATGATTAAAATGCAGTTCAAAGTTCTTTGAAAAAATATGAAAATCTGTTGTTGGGAGATGGAGTTTACGTAAATTTTTTTTATTAACAATTTAAATTAGCGAGCAAATACTACGCTAGAGATATCTATATTTTATCCTTTCTCTCTTTTGATTTGTGAATAGAGAAGAGATTTGAAGGAAAAAAAATGAAAGAATAAAATATAATCAAATAATTTTATCAAATATTTTAAATCGAAAATGGCGGTTAAATAAAAATAAAAGAATAAAATATAATCAAATTATTTTATCGAATATTTTACATACAAAATCGTGGTTGAGAAAGTGAACGATCTTGAAATTTGCTCGAATTTTATATAAAATTCCTATTAAAATTTATGAAATAATACAAATTTCGATTTTTTGTTTTTTTTTTTCAAGAGATTCTGTATTTGTATTGTAAAAAAAGTTTTCATAATTTCAGTGGATATATGGTATTATCCTGATATATTTTATTTATATCATAAATCCGTTACCATAATTTTTCACAAACTAGAAGATGGAGTGATTTTATAGTAGATACTTCGTACGATAAGAGAGTCTTAAATGCGATAAGAAATTTTTGTGAGAGAGAACGAATACATAAGGGTTGATAATTTTTCGATCAATTTCATCAATTTAAAATTTGTAATTCATTGAAATATATCAATCATAATTGTACGTGTAGGAGACAAATCAAAGATAGAAATTTAAAGTTTTTATATTGGTTTTGAGACTTTCTTCATTATATTTCATGTAAAAAGTATTCATTATTTTTGTTGAGATTATCTTTTTTACGTAAAATTTATGCGATTTCATAGTTTCTAATATAAATGATGCTTTGCCTGACAATGAGTTATCTAGTGTATAGAATACTTCTAAACTTTAGAAATTTAAGAAGACAGTTACTATACCTAGGTTAGAAAGTTTTGAAATACCGATGTAATTTCTCTTCCATTTGGTACAATTCATTTATGCATTTTATCATGAATACCCGTATACTGTCAATTATATAATTTTTTAAAAGATATTTGAGATAGATAGTTCACATGTTCGTTTTCTTCTCAGTAAGATTTTTTTATAAAACTATATTCGAAAGTTATGTAGTAAGCCAAAAATGGTATATAAATATTATTTTCACCGTGTCTACGTGTGCGTGCGCGCGCGCGTGAGCGGGTATGCGTGTGTGTGTATATATGTCTAACGAACCGATATTAAATTATAAAATTTTAATGTATTGTGAATATATTTTAAATCCATGCTACTTTAAATAAATAATTCTCAGTCGAATCAAACTCAAAAATTAAATATATTTGAACGAGGTCGTAATTGAGGTAGTAATAGCTAATATTAACCATTAATTATTCATATTTTTCTTTAATTCTGCAATACTTATGCACACAGTCGCTTCAAAACAATTATTCAAATATACTTTTTTAATAAGCACTGTATTGTATTAAAAAATTTTCATTTACATGGAGATTAAGAGAGTAATGCTACGTAATCAAGTAACATCTCATCGATTAACAAAACTGTGCCAATCAATCTGAGAAAATTGGAATTTGAATCCCTTTGATATGAAGTTTTACATTAATTGCCATCGATATCTTTTCCATTTGTTTGAAAGTGCGCGCATAAGATGAGGTGGTACGGGTGTAAAGCTCTAACTGGGCGGAATCGATAAGTCCGCACGAGTTAAACATACCAAATGCCCTGCAGTGCAGACAACATACCGACTATCAATGAGCTGTCGCCGAGTATAACTTCTTTATATTGCATAAGAGGCTTAATCATTCAGTCAATTGGCACATCAAGATTTCACGTAATGCTGCGAATTATTTATTATTTAGTTGTCTTGCTATTTACCAATGCGTATTCGTATATTTTCAAAAGGCAAATTTCTCATTCATGTCAATATGCTTATTATATGATTGCATAGTCAAATACTTAAAACAGATGTCTGATTTCAGGCAAAATACGTAGGTAAGAGCTTTATTTCAAGGCACAATGCAGCTCACAAGAA